GATCGAGTGTGAGATCAATTGTGATATCGATCGAATGAGATAGATCGAGTGAGATCGCTTGTGAGATCGATCGAGTGAGATCGATCGAGCGAGACCGATAGTGAGATCGATACTGAATTCGATAGTGAGACCGATCGAGTGAGACGTTGGTTCCCCCCCCCCCGAACCTCCTTATCACCCGAAGGGTGGTCGTATAGGTAATAATAAGAAGCCAGAAATAATAAGAAGAAGGGAGAGAGGAGGATGAGGAGGAGGAGGGGGAGGAGGAGGAGGGGAGGAGGAGGGGGGGGAGAGGAGAGAGGAGGGAGGAGGAGAGAGGAGCCGGAGGAGCAGGAGGAGCAGGAGGAGCAGGAGGAGCAGGAGGAGCAGGAGGAGCAGGAGGAGCAGGAGGAGCAGGAGGAGCAGGAGGAGGAGCAGGAGGAGGAGGAGGCCCCCGCCCCAACCGTGAGGCGAAGAAGGGGTGGTGCTGTAAACACGAGTGGTGGCCCGAGTGCGAGGACGAAGGCTACGCCTCGTCCTCGCCATTTGACTGCGAGGTGGGCGTCCAGCGCTGGAGGGGAAGGGGCTCCTTCTCCCCCTTCCCTTTTCCTCTCCTCCCCTCCTCCTCCTCCTCCTCCTCCTCCTCATCCTTCTTCTTCTTCTCCTCTTCCTCATCCTCATCCTCACATCATCTTCATCCTCCTCCTATCCACTTCCCTCATCCTTCTCATCCTTCTCATCCTCCTCCTCCTCCTCCTCCTCCTCCTCCTCCTCCTCCTCCTCCCCCTGACGGCAGAAGGAGCTCCTGGCTTCGTGGCGCCACAGCCGCCCCCTCTTTCCCCTCAGGCAGCGTTAGGGGGGATAGGCGCAGGGGCTTCGAGGTTCAAAGCTTTCTGACTTGTTCGCATGCTCCTGGCGGATTCCCAGCCTCTGAATGCCTTCCAGCGCTTCCGCCTCGCTGGGAGCGTTCCGGGGGATGCCAAGCTCGTCCCGGGCGGCCGCCAGAGCGCCGAGCTACGACCCGATGTCCGGGAGGCAACGACACGGGGGGATCTCTTCAGGGGAGGGGCATCGAGCGCATCGATCCTCCATCGCCCACTGACCGCCGACAGGGGCCCCATCAGCCCACCCCCACCCGGGAGCGTGCGGTATTAGTACCGCCGGGGGGCCTGTCGCCGTTCCATCGGCGATGCGTCGCCGATTCCAGCTCCGGGTGTGGGGGGTCTGCCGTCGCCCCCCTCCTTCCTCCCCCCCCTCCTCCCTCGCCCCCCTCCCCCATTCCTCCCACAACGCCCTCCTCCTCCTTCTCCCTTTCCTCCTCCTCCTCCTCCTCCTCCCTTTCCTCCTCCTCCCTTTCCTCCTCTCCTCCTCATCCTCCTCCTCCTCCACCTTGTCCTCCCCCTCCTCCTCCTCCTCCTCCTCCTCCTCCGCCTCCTCCTCCTCCTCCTCCTCCTCCTCATCCTCCTCATCCTTGTCCTCCTTGTCCTCCGCCTCCTCCTCCTCCTCGTCCTCGTCCTCCTCCTCATCATCAATATCATCCCCCTAGGATCCAGACAGGCTCGAGTCTTGGAAAAAACAGGGCGGGACGTTTTTGCCAGTGTTCGGCCCCCGGGGACCCTTGGCCCTGGGGCCGTCCAAAAGCTACTCGCGATGAAGAACCCGTCCTGGGAAGTCGGGACGTCCGGGGACGCCGCACTGGACCTTTCTTCCGTGACATCGCATACATGTGGAGAGGCTCCGGTGTCCGGGCCGTTCCGCAGGCTCGGATCGGGGGAGCCTACACCATAGGCAGGCCAAGCCAGAACTCATCCTGCCAGCTGGTGCCCCACGAGGTGTGTCTTGTCCCCCGAAGGCCCCTGGGGGCGGGGAGGTGGCGCAGAAGCTGCGGGGGCGAGGCCATGTGGCACCTGAGGGCCCTCTAAGATCGACGAAGAACGTGCCCCAAGCTTTCGCACGGCAGGAGTTCTGCTACCCTTGTGGAGGAGGACCCATGGAGAGGAAGCAGGTTGCCAGATCATTCCCAGATGTCTGACACATGGGGTAAGCATGGTTCAGACATGTAAAGCACATGCTTGAAACCTGTTGAGAACATGCTCCTACCTTTGAGCTCATCTCAAACTCGATGCTCGGACTGTTGGGGTGCCCATCGTCGTGGCAGCCACAACTATACCCTGCGTGTCTACTGGACTTGCGGCCCAGGGGCTCACCGTGGCCGGAGGCGCCGCTCTTCGCTCCTCCCTCGCCGGCCCTGCCTGGCAGCACGGCGCCCGCAGAGCTGGCCGGCCCCCGAGCACCAGCCCCGGGGCGCAGCGCGCCCGCGGGGGCGCCGCAGGCCTCGACGTGGCCACCCCGCCCTCCCCGAGCCTCGATCCTCCCCGAGCCTCCCCGGCCCTCCCTGGCCCTCCCCAGTCCACCCCGTCCCTCCTCGATGCCCCTCGGTCTTCTTCGGTCCTCCTCGGCCTTCCTCGACCCTCTCCGATCCCGACCCTCCTCGACCCTGCTCCCCGAGCCTCGGAGGAGGCGCTGCCGAGACCGCCCCCGTGCTGCTCCTGGGGGTGGCAGGGGGGAGAGACGAACACTGAGAACAGGTTGGAACGTATGGGGAATCCTGGGATCTGTGTGCACTCACCTGTGTGTCCCTGGGCCCCTTCAGAGGTCGATGTTTCCCCCCCCCCTCGAGCAGGCCCCCTGTGGAGGCTGGCCCAGGCGTCGGCGGGTTGGCCAGCACCGCCCGCAGCGGCGGCGGCGGGAGGGGAGGGGCGAGGGGCAGGGGCACCGCCACCAGCCAGCGGCGACCATGGGAGGGGAGCTGAGGACGGGGCCGGGACAGGGACGGATCCGTGGGAGAGGAGGAGGAGGAGGAGGAGGAGGAGGAGAAGGAGGAGCAGGAAGTGGAGGAGGAGGAGGAGGAATAGGAGGAGGAGGAAAAGGAGGAGGGGGAGCAGGAAGATGAGGAGGAGGAGGAGGGAGGAGGAGGAGGAGGGGGGAGGAGGGGGAGGAGAGGAGGAGGAGGAGGAGGAGGAGGAGGGGGAGGAGGAGGAGGAGGGAGGGGAGGATGAGGATGAGGATGAGGATGAGGATGAGGATGAGGATGAGGATGAGGATGAGGATGAGGATGAGGATGAGGATGAGGAGAGGATGATGATGATGATGATGATGATGATGATGATGATGATGATGATGATGATGAGATGAGGAGGAGGAGGAGGAGGGGGAGGAGGAGGAGGGAGGAGGAGGAGGAGGAGAGAAGGAGGAGGAGGAGCAGCAGAAGCAGGAATAGGAGGAGCAGGAGCAGGAGGAGGAGGAGGAGGAGGAGGAGGAGGAGGAGGAGGGAGGGGGAGGGAGGGGGGAGGGAGGCGGGTGGCCTGTAGGCCGCTGCCACGAATGGTGCGCGCGGGCGGACTGCCCACGACCATTTTCGCGTGGCGTTCGCACGCGTGTGCGAAGGTCGATGCGGCCACGTCCAACAGCCGCACCTTGGCAGCTAGCTCGTCCACGCCCTCCGTGCCCCGTAAGGGCCCACAGCACGAGCGCGCCCGGTGGCGGACTCAACACTGCCTGCACCGTCTCCCGGTGAGCCTCCACGACGCTGCAGCACTCCATCGGGCGTTGGAAGCAACACTCCCCCCGGCGCACAGCGGGGACGCCTCGGTCAGGCGCTCCGCGGGCAGGCCCCAGATGCCAGCCGGGATCTGCAGCGATACGCGCGCGACGCACCGTGCGCGTCGGACGCGCCACATTGACATGGCCCGTCCCCGCGACGCCCAGCGGAGGGTGGGGGGCCGCCGCAGTGCAGCGGGAGGGCCTCCGCAGCGCAGCGAGACGGATCCGCGGGACAGGGACGGATCCGCGGGAGAGGAGGAGGAGGAGGAGGAGGAGGAGAAGGAGGAGGAGGAGGAGGAGGAGGAGGAGGACTCCGCAGCGCAGCGAGACGGAGAGGGAGTGGCTCCACCATCCAGGCCGAGGGGGGGAACAGCCGCGGGGCAGGCGATCAGGGTGCCACCCCGCGGCAGGCGGTGCGGGGCCCGCGCTGGGCGGCCCGACCATGCGGGCGGTCCAAGCGGCGGCCTGCCTCAGGGCGCCGGAAAAGGAAGGAGGGGAAAGAGAAGGGAAGGGCGAGGAAGGAAGGAGGTGACGTGGTGGAGGAAGGAGGAGGAGCTAGGAGCTAGGAGAAGGAGGAGGAGGAGGCGGAGGAGGAGGAGGAGGAGATGACTTGGAGGAGGAGGAGGAGGAGGAGGAGGAGGAGGAGGAGGAGGAGGAGATGACGTGGAGGAGGAGGAGAAGGAAGAGGAGAAGGAGGGAGAAGGGCTTGGCAGGCGAGGGAGAGCGCTACTCCTTTACTGGCTGCTCGGTGAGCGCCCGAAGAGACAGTGCACCTCGTCTGTTCCGAGTTCTTGTCACTTCGTTCTACCGCACGATCCTGCAGTCGTAGTTCAGGCCTACTGTCTAATTTGGTTTACGAATGCTCATTACCACCGAACGCTACAAGCAAAGCTTTGGAACATTGCCGGACGTGAACAGAAAGGAGGGAGAAAGGAGGAAGAGGAGGCGGGAGGAGAGGTGGTCCGGGGGGAGGGAAGAGGAGGGTGACGGACTGACGCCAGAGTAAACCTTGTGTACGCATCATCGATACTGTAACGCACCCTCCTGGTTCAAGCCCCCGCACAAGTCCCTACAAGCTTCCCTCGTCAATACAAGCAGCGCCCCCCTGAACGACCAACATACAGAGGGCCTACCATTCAGGCGAGGGCCCCGATTCGAACGAGTGACAAGGAACGCGAGCAACATCAGCATATAGCTCAACGTGGTGGCCTGCGGATCCCCGTTATTCGCATTTCCTTTCATGAATTCCGAGGCCGTCTCCAGCGAGAACCAATGTTGTAAAGGGACCGCCCTCTATTCGCGCAGCTGCTGCAAGCGATGAACGGGAAGTTCCAAGCGAGTTCGCTACCCTCCATCCAAGCATCTGCTACAAATATTCAGCTTCGTGATCATAAATGGTGACGAATTACGAAGTCTGAGGCGAAACGACCGGCCCGCCCTACCAACACGTCCGGGGTTGCGACAATAGGGAGGACTGATTTGCAAGGACAGGGGACGGAGGGGGAGGGGGGGAGGAGAGGGATGAGAGGGATGAGGGAGGGACGGGCAGGACGCACACTGAACCTAATTCCTCGAGCACAGAAGTGAGGGGCATTCCATCGGATCTCACGCCTCGATTGGATTGGTAGTACCATGCGCCCTCGGCCGCCAGTAACAAGAATGGCTGTGGAGTGCGGAGACTGCGGCGCGCACATGAGGACAGCACGACCCACCCCCACCCAAAGCCAGAACCTCCACTCCCGACCTGGTGATTCAGGGGTCCAGGCTGGGGGTGAGGGCGGCTCATGCTTCCAAGCAACCAAGTGCAAGCACCCCAACCCCGAGCCAGGACCCCCTCTCCCGACCTGGTGATCCGGGGCCCAGGCTTGGGGTGAGGACAGATTCTTTGGCTCCAAGAGGACGACCACGCCTCCACCCCGAGAGCCAGGACCCCCTGGATCACGAGGTCAGGCGTGGGGATGCTGGCTGGTGTAGGGGGGGGGGGGGGGACGGTACTGTCTTCAGCACGGGAGGACCGCAGCGTGCGTGCGGTTGCTCTTCCCGCCTTCGTCCCGGTGGTCGCCCAGCTCCTGCTCTCTTCCGGCGGCGAGCGAGGGGGGGAAGTGGGAGGAGCAGGCCTTCTCAGAAGGAGGCCTTCTCAGAAGCCCCCGGGCCTTCTGAGAAGTCTCCTGCGCCTCCGGAGACGGCTTATAGGAACCGGGGGACTTCCGAGCCCACTGAGGAGGCCTTCTGCTTCTGCTGCTCCCCTCCGGCGGCGAGCCTTCCCGGGCTCGCCGCCGACTGGTGCTCCCTGCTCCAGCGCCGAGCTTGCCGGCGCTGGCACCGCGGTCGGGAACACCGGCTTGCAACGTGTCGCGCCGCGGGCTCGGGCCCGCCGCGCTGCTCGGCGCGGCACGCCGACCACGCCCCCGCCTCCGAGCGCCAACGCCCCGAGCTCAGCCCGGCCTCCCGGCCCGCGGAGCGTAGCGGCACGCAGTCCGCGCGCCAGGCACGGCGTGTCCCCGGGGCCGCCGTCGCCGCCTCGCGCTGAGCAGAAGTTCCTGGCCTTGCCTCCATGCGCTCCCTCCCTCTCTGGGCGGGGCAGGGAGCTCGGCTGGTCCGACGCGAAGAAGGAGCGCCGCCGGCCTTGCGGACGCAATTATGGTTAAGGCTATGTGTTTTCGCTTGCTCTCACAGGTTCCCATGGGTATAGATTGGTGTTCTGAGGTTTTCAGTGTATCTCGTTGGCCTTCCTTGCTCCCAGACGCCGGCTGCACTAGTCTTGGCTAGGCCAATCTCGGGCACGCGGTAAGTGGATGAGACCTCCTGGCCTGGCCGGGGTGAAGCGTGGTGCATGGAGGATCGGCCTCAGATCGGCCTGGCCAGCATCGGTGCGGCTGCAGACTGTGCGCTGTCCAGCGCCAGGAAGAAGGAGCGACACGGTACGGGGAAGGGAGGACGAGTGATGGAAAACAGGGGCCCGCTTCTCGTCGCCAGCTGACCCCATCGTGTCGCTAACATTACCTGTTGTCCTTCTCATCGTTATTACCTTTTCCCTCCTGGTGGGGGGCTACCACTGTTGTTATCTTTCTGCTTACATGTTGCTATTGCCGCTTTCGTGGCTGTATCAACTCAACGATACCTTGGACCGGGTACAGTTGGGGTTAGCTGCGCGCACCGCGCGCGCGCCATGTCTGACATCATGCCCCTCACACCCATCCCTTCCCAAAGTGATGGGAAACAGATGGTAAGCTGAGTGCGCCGCGCGCACCGTACAGTGGAAACACATACCAAGAAGCACCCTGCTTGCCTCCAGGCTGCCCTGGTTTTCTCGTGTTTCGATGGTTTTGCGATGGAAAGCGTGACATTCCCACACCACAAATCAATGGACGTCCCGGGGCCTGAGGATTGGGTTTCTTGTGGAAGGCTTGTAGTCGAGCTCCTACTGTATCTGACATCATGCCCCTCCCACCCATCCCTTCCGACGCGCCATTGCGAACGACGATGGCGAGGCGCCTCTCCCGGCACGGGGCTCCAGTCGCAGTCAGTCTCCCAGCCCAGGGGGCTAAACCTCAGCAGAGGCAAGACTTGATGCCAGCTGCATGCCTGGGATACGGATGTTCTCCTTTACCCGAGGACGAGAAAACTATATATATATATATATATATATACACAGAAATGTTCAGAGCTCCGCGCAGACTTCTTGGATCTGCGCTGGGACCCCCGGCGGCGCCCCGGGCGCCGCCCCTGCCACGATCCGCGCGCCAGGGAGGGGACTCCGGCTCGGATCCAAGAAATCCGCGCGGACCGTCAAAAGTTTAGGTTCGTCAGTTGTTTGTCCCTCTATGGAGGGAGCTTCCGCAGACGCTCCTGTGCACTCGGGTTTGCTCCTTGCCCTCTGCACCGCTCTCGGCTGTGGTTCCCAGGGCACGATCGCGAAAAATGCGCACCGCCGTGGAGTCGGAACATCCGTGTGTGGCCTGGAGGGGGAAGAGGGTGGGGGGGTGGGGAAGGCATAGGAGCAGGAGGAGGAGGAGGAGGAGGAGGAGGGAGGAGAGGAGGAGAGGAGGAATGAGGAGGGCAGGAGGTGAGGAGAGGGGAGAGGAGCGTTGCCGGCCCTGCGAGGCGCATGCTCGGCAGCGATGAGATATCGAGGCTGCAGGGCGACGGTCATCGGGCCGAAATGTTCTGGGCCCAGGGGGCGCCGCTTACACCAACCGGCGCTTCCGTGGGTACCTGTTTGCGCTACTTTGCCTGCCGCCAAGGCACTGAGATAGGCAACACTTGAGGCTCAGGAGGGCTCCGGTTCTCGGGCCGTTCATTCGGTCTAGGCGGGGGAACCTGTTCTTGGCCGAGGTTCGTAGTAAGCAGAGAAGCCCCTTCGTTCTTTATTTGGCGTTCCTTCTGGTAGCACGATGGCTGTGTCCACCATCGCGATGCGGCGTGGGGGCGAGGAGGAGGGGGGGCGGAGAGAAGGGGAGGCGGGAGGGAAGGGGTGCACGCCCTGCTAGTAGCGTTGTCCGCTGGGGAGGCATGGGGGGGGTTCGAGTCTGCTTGCGTGGAAGAGGCAGGCCGCGCAGGAACAATAAGCAGAAAGCAGCTGACGCATGTTGTGCCCACTACGTCGGGGCCACGCAGACGCGCACACACAGACACACACACACATACGCACGCCCGCACGCACGCACACACACATACACATACAAATACACACACACGCACATATACAAATAACACACACGCACGCACACGCTCACACACACACACACACACACGCACCCACGCACGCACACACACACACACGCCTACACACAAACATAGACACACTCACACACACAAACACACAAGCAAACAAACAAACAAACAAGCACTGTGCTTGGCGTCGCGGCCCGGCGCGCGGCGACAGGGAGTAGAACGTCGGGGGCAGTCAGTGCAGCGCGCGCGTCTGCGCCCGACACACACACACACGCACACGCACACACAATACACACACGCACACATACAAACACAAACAAACAAACAAGCACTCACACACATATACACACTCGCACGCACGCACGCACGAACGCATGCACGCGCACACACACACACACGCACACGCACACGCACACGCACACGCACACGCACACGCACACGCACACGCACACGCACACGCACACGCACACGCACACGCACACGCACACACACACACACACGCACACGCGCACACGCACACGCACACGCACACACACGCACACACGCACACACGCACAGACGCACACACGCACACACGCACACACGCACACACGCACACACGCACACACGCACACACGCACACACGCACACACGCACACACGCACACACACACACACACGCACACACACGCACACACACACACACACACACGTCGGGGCCACGCAGACGCGCAAACACATACACACACATACATATATATATATAGGTATATGTATATGTATATGTATATGTGTATGAAAGAGCGTGTTCTACCGCTGCTGGCGGAAAACCAGGGGGGGTCACTACCAGTTCGAACCCCTTCCCCCCCCCTCCGGAAAACGGGGGGGGTCACTACCGGTTCGAACCCCTCCCTCCCCGCCCCCCCTGGTTCATCATGAAAAAGGGGGGGGGGTCACTACCGGTTCGAACCCCCCCCCCCCTCCCCCCTCGAAAATCGGGGGGGGTTCACTACCGGTTCGAACCCCCCCCTCGAAAACCGAAGGGGGGTGCGGACAGTGGTGGGGACGGTGGTGGTGGACAGTGGTGAGGGGACAGCGGGACAGTGGTGGGAACAGTGGGACAGTGGTGGGGACGGTAGTGGTGGGGACAATGGTGAGGACAATGGTGGGAACAGTGGGGACAGTGGTGGGGACGGTGGTGGTGGGGACAGTGGTGTGGGGACAGTGGGAATGTGGTGGAAACCGTAGGACAGTGGAGGGTACGGTGGTGTGGGGACAGTGGTGAAGGCGGTGACGAGGACGGCGGTGGGACAGTGGGACAGAGGTACAGTGGGGACAGCGGTGGGGACTGGGGACAGTGGTGGGAACAGTGGGACAGCTCAGTGGTTCGAACCGGTAGTGGCCCCCCCCTCCGGTTTTCGAGGGGGGTTGGGGTTCGAACCGGTAGTGACCCCCCAGGTTTTCGTGGGAGGGGGGGGGGTTAGGGGAGGGGGGGTTTTTGCGAGGTAAGGGGGGGCGGGGGGGATCCAGCAGGGGGGGGGGGGATTTTCGGAGGGGGGGGGGGGGACCCCCGGGTTCCAGAGGAAAAGGGCGGCAATTTTCCACAGTAAAGCGGCGGTGGATCACGCTCTTCTCTCTCTCTCTCTCTTTCTCTCTCTCTCTCTCTCATATAATATTATATATATATATATATACGTACGCAGCTACAAACACACACACACACCACACACGCACACGCACGCACGCACGCAGCACGCACGCACGCA